TCAGCTAGTGGTTGTCTCTTCATACGACATTCCACATTGGTGACCTGACGTGATTGGAAGCACGCAGGAGTGATGTGGGAACATCCCACATCATCACGCATTTGTGCAGCGCTCGCTATTCAGTTCACTATTGTTGTTATCCATCCGTGTATACTGTGCAACTGCAATAAATCCTATAGGACAGTTCAACTAGTGGTTGTCTCTTCATACGACATTCCACATTGGTGACCCCAACGTGATTGGAAGCGCGCGTGTTGAAGATCATCGACTCCCACATTGGTTCATCCTGGCACAGCATGGACACCGCAGACAACTCACAAGCAGCAGCATTGCTTCTCGCAAGGGAGGGAGTGATGTGAGAACATCCCACATCATCACGCATTTGTGCAACGCTCGCTATTCAGTTCAATATTGTTGTTATCCATCCGTGTATACTGTGCAACTGCAATAAATCCTATAGGACAGTTCAACTAGTGGTTGTCTCTTCATACGACATTCCACATTGGTGACCCCGACGTGATTGGAAGCGCGCGTGTTGAAGATCATCGACTCCCACATTGGTTCATCCTGGCACAGCATGGACACCGCAGACAACTCACAAGCAGCAGCATTGCTTCTCGCAAGGGAGGGAGTGATGTGAGAACATCCCACATCATCACGCATTTGTGCAACGCTCGCTATTCAGTTCAATATTGTTGTTATCCATCCGTGTATACTGTGCAACTGCAATAAATCCTATAGGACAGTTCAACTAGTGGTTGTCTCTTCATACGACATTCCACAGGTCGTTATTTTTAGCCAGCTACAGACAGAGCATTCTCATTATCTCGACACTTGAGATGTACGTAAGGCGGGGTGGGTTGGTATGTCTGGCACGGTTCACAACCAAGCAGCAGCCTGTGTTGCGGCCAGTGGTGGCATTTTCAAAAATCAGCTTTAAGCACCAATAAATTCAAATAAAAGGTAATTTCACAAAGTTAACTTTACATTTATACTTTAAATGTATTATGTATTATGCTGGTTTATTATTTTGTTCCATTTATTGTCAGTAATCGTTACCTTCTATTTTGAGTTTAAAATGGTCATAACTCTGTAACCGTCCAAAATTGGACACATGTTTATGTGAACTTTTTTGATCACAAAGACGTAGGAAATTCCGTCCTGCAGTTATACCCTAAAGCCGTGAAACCCCCTGTATACACCACTGAACTGCAGTATTAATAAAATTAGATACAATAATATTAATTATATTAAAGTACTTGACATAAAAATACAATAAATTAGATTATATAAAACAGAAGTTATAGTATAAAACAAGAATAAAATTCTTTTATTGATGCTTTACAGCATCGAGTCAGTTGTTGGTTTTTGTGATTTTGTTTCGTTCCCATGGACAAGGTAAGAGTATTCTATATTTTGTGTATAAAAACTGTAATAGGAGTTTCGTGATGTAGATGTAGTAATATTAATGTAAATCTGAAAATGATATGAGAGTAATAGTATTAAATTTTGTTATAATGAAGGTATAGTGTATTATTTACTTACTATTTAGTCGGTGCCTCATCTTACAAAAAAAATCATCATAAAATAAATTAAGTGTATAGGAGAATAATTTTAACGGTATGTATCAGCATATGATTCGCAAACAGTTGTATCAATTTAGACATTTTAATGTTCAGTTTTCTAGTCTTGTTGTTTTATGCATTAGTATTTTTTGTAGAGATATAAGGAGAGTTTCAATGGGCTGGGCATGTACAGAGAATGGATAAGGAGTGTATCCCAAAGAAATATTATATAGTACAGTAGGTGGTAGGAGATGCGCTAGGAAACCAAGAACTAGATGGATTGATGTGGTGGAAGAAGATGTGAAGAAGTGAATGGGTGTAAGGAACTGGAAGAGAGCATCGTAGGATAGAGAGAAATGGAGGGGCTTGATAAGGGAGGCCAAGGCGTGACATTAGGCTGTTGTGCCATAGAAGAAGAAGATAAGAAGAGTTTGCTCTAACAATATGTAGCTGGTTTATACTTGTATTGAAGATCTTAACCTTGTATTGTGTTGACAGTAAGATTATTGGCGTGTAGTTTGCAAAGTGTATGAGAATTTTCAGGCAGTGTGTTATTTCACTATTTAAGTTTCTGTGTTCTTGTGTCTACACTTAGTAACTTTGCTATATGGTTCTTTGTCATAGTCAGGAAAACCATATTTGTGAAAGGTAAGGCAAATTTATCTCCAGAAATATTTCAATTTACTTATGTGATAATTATATTTTCAGAATTCAGTAAATTTAAGTCCATGATTTATTTAAACCGTCTTGCAGTGCATACACTCATTTATCTCCTTCTCTCCCTCACACTACATGTTTCGGCATAATAATGCCATCTTCAGGTGCTTACTTATCCACGCCAAACTAGTTCGTTGCATGCCTTGTTCTCATATTAAAATAACTAAAATATGTATCTATCATATATATTGTCAGACATTAAAAATGTTAAAATTGTTCAGGATACCACATCGCTACATTGCACCTCATAAATTTGTTGAAACCTGCTTATAATGGAATCCAAAGAGACATGAATAGTTCCTGATTTCAGTGGGGTTTTAATTTAATACATATACTTGGGATAAATAAAAGTATTGCATGATACATTCCCAATGTATTTATGATCCATATCACTTGTATGAAATTCATTCTACATTTGTACACCTGACTGTTCACTGAGCAGTACAGATTTGCAGATTTGTTCCATTTGTCCTTCTCATATAACTTTCAGATGAGAGTAGAATTATATGAACAGTAAACAGTGAATATTCAAGGAGTCTAGTTTCTGTTTAATCCTCTTTCTGTATTAGACAAATTTTATTCTATGCAGAAATATCTCGGGGCATTTAAAATTTTTGATATTATGGTCCCATTGTATGTAGTATTGACCATACTGTGCACTTCAGAATTGGGTTGATACAGTTTTTTAACCTTTGCATTAGGCTTCAGATGCTGCAAAGAGAAAGGAGGAACAGAAGAAATATGGTATATATTTTGATGATGATTATGACTACCTGCAACACTTACATGATGTCAGCTGTACAACTGTTGATTGGGAACCTGTTGAACAATTATCCAGCCGGACTACCAATTTGAAGTTGCCTTCATCTGTGTTTGCATCAAAAGTAGAAGAAGATATTGGCCTTCTCAATAGGGCAGCACCTCATTCAGGTGAGTTTTATTAATGGTTTTCAGTGGCTTTACGAACAGACTGTGCAGATTGGAAGAGTGCTTACTAGAGTAGGGGTCCATAGATAACACATTTCTCCCACATAGTGAACTTCCTGATTGAATGATTGATGGAGTCTTCAGTTATTTAATGATCCTTTTCATCTATATAGTTTATGTAGCATTGAATAGTAGATTTTTGTGAGTGGTAAATTTCAAAATGATGTGGAAAAAGTAATTATGGTGTATCCTGAGGTACTATCCCTTTGTTTTCCTGAAAGAACTGATGAAATATTCACCCAGGATAGCTGTTATCTGGAACAGTGATGATACTACAATAATTCCATACAGAAATATGTTGCTATGTGGACAGAACAGTTATGCTATCTTGTTGAAAGGTCTGTTGTTCTTCACTCCAGTTAGTAAGCGATCTGGCCTTTCCAGTTATCTGCGGTATAGAGTTTGTTTGTACTTATTCACAAATATTGTTCTCTTTTTCTTGTAGATGATTTTTGATCAGTCTGTGCCAGCATGATCTCCATAAGCTTTTTAAATTTGTTGTTGACCTAGTGAGTTAGTCACAAGGAGTTATTAAGTCAAATTCTTTATGAAACAGTTTTCCTTGAACCATGATAAGACAGCTGTCCAATGAAACATTTTAATTTCACCATGCCCTCTCCACGCTAATAACACTGTGTTTACTTCACGCACATCAAAGTTTTGTATTTTGCACCTTATAACTCATTCCTTTCATAAATGGCCAATGAACCAGTTACCTTGTTCTTTACATACTTTTTTACTGATACTTCTCTAGATGCATAGTAAATACTTCATATTTTGAGTGACACCAGGTTGATATAAGAGTACTACTGTACACTTGTGTTTGAGAGGTATGTAATTTAAGTCTTGGTTGGCTTATTGGCTATCCCATCTGAGGTGTGTAATTGGTTTAGAATTATCCTCCATTAAGCAACTTTAATTGGTTCCATGACATGTTGTCTATTAGTAATTCATCAGTTAATGAAACAAATTGTAGCATTTGCTTTGCTTTTTATTGTAATGCCTGTAATATCATTAATTTCAATTTAAATGTTGGAAAATGTAATGGAAAGCATGAGATTGCATTCCTAAGCTACCAGAATGGCTGGCTGAAGTGAATGGGCTTGTAAAGATCACCATTGCACTTCTACATTGGCAATCAATTGACCAGGGTATGATAATTGTTTGGGTATTGGGATATACTACTCTGTCCAAGAAGTATCCGACCTTGGGCCGGGAAAAAAAAGTTCTGTATCTGGGTGGTTACAATACCTAATCCCCTTCAAAGTAGGTCCCTTGTGACTCCACACACTTAGCCCAGCGGTCCTTCCATTCCTGGAAGCAATTCTGGAAGGCTTCTTTTGGAATGGCGTGCAGCTGCGCCGTCGCATTCTGTATGATGTCTTCGCGGCTGTCAAAACGGCAGCCTTTTAGCGGTGTCTTCAATCTCGGGAACAGCCAGAAATCACAAGGAGCCATATCAGGAGAGTAGGGAGCCTGGCAAACCTGCGGAATGCCGTGCTTGGCCAGGAAACCCTGGATCAGGTGCGATGAATGAGCTGGGGCGTTGTCATGATGCAGCTGCCAGTTGCGTGCATCCCACAGCTCCGGTCTCTTGCGCCGAACTGCTTCACGAAGATGGCGGAGGACTTCTTGGTAGTACTCCTTATTGACAGTCTGGCCTAGTGGTGCATACTCATGATGCACAACACCCCGGTAATTAAAAAAAACAGTCAATATCACCTTCACATTGCTCCAAACCTGTCATGCTCTTTTGGGCCTTGGGGATGTTGGATGCTTCCATTGTGACACCAGGACCTTGGTTTCTGGGTCATATCCGTACACCCACGACTCGTCACTAGTGATTACAGTCTTCAGGAACTCAGGATCCCTGTTGGTGCACTCCAGCATGTCCTGCACGACCCCAAGGCGGAGGTGTTGCTGCTTCAGCCTGGCTTACCCCCAGGAAGGTTCCTGGTACTCATTTCTGTTAGAGGATGAGACAACCACAGTGCGGCTGGAAGGATTAGGTTAATTGAAAAAATTCATTGACCTCATTCGGTATTGAATCTGTGATAGCATGTAGCATAGTGCCTAATCCAACTGCGCTACTGCGTGCCCTGAACTTTGCCTTTTGCCTTTATAAAGGTAAATTGATGTGGACATACATGTCATTGCATTACTCTTCGTTTCACAATTGGAAACATTGAATCTTGTATATATGGACCCTTATAGTTAAGCCTGATATTGTAATGATGCTTCATTATCAGGTCCACATTTGGATCTGGATCCAGATATAGTTGCTGCAATGGATGAGGATTTTGACTTCGAAGACCCAGGCAATGAACTTGAAGATAATTTTATTGAATTGGCCAATGCAGAAGGTAGTGGTAGTGAGATGGGTTCAGGTGATGATGATGATGATGATGATGATGATGAATGAGTAGTTACTGAAGATAATATTTCATAAACTCACAGAAGTATGTTGTAAATGTATTCCCATCATTAGCATTTCACATTGCTATTGCAATATTAGAATTCTATTTTTGTCAGTATTCTCAGTGTCCTTGCTTTACAAATATTTATGTTTTCATTCTTGACTCATAGAATATAGTAACAATCCTGCAGCTTGAGTTGCTTGAGACTTGGTGTTTGGTCCCTGTTGCCTGTTCGGCTTTTCCTGCACTCTACATTAACTTTGCACTTTTATCATATTTGGTAATGTTTATTTATGGTATGTACATAGCTCATGAAGTTGTATAGGATGAGAATGGTTTTATCTCAGATGAGCTTTGTACATTAGTTTATTTATTTTCCTTCACAGTGGATCAAAACTGGAAAGACATAGTGATGAAATGTACCTGACAAAAGATAATTATTCATGTTAAATAAGAGTCAGTACTGGTGAGTAACCTCACCAGCCATGTGTTGCATTATTGCATGAGTGTGATCCAGCTGGCCAAATGCTGTAAGTTTTCAATACTAATACCATTACCTTCTAAGTCGAAATATGGCTGCGAGCCCATAGTACCAGGAGATTTAAAATTCCCTGTTCCTGGCCTGTGAAGATTAATAATAAATTATCTTAGCCAGCTTCCCATATTTTATTGGGGAGCAGAAGAATGGCCCATTGAAATGAATGATAAAGTGCAGATCCTGTTTGTTGTAAGGTGTCTGATTGGAGGGAAAGCCATTTCTTATTAGCATAAACACAAGTTCAACTTAGAAAGAAATTATTGAGAAGAAACAACTAATTTTAGAGGTTTGTTGTAATAAAAGGCGATGTGATTGATGTATATTTAGGTGATGGTGATGTTACTTGTCATACAAAAATATGTGCCTTCCGTTGCTAATAAATTAAATTCTGGGAAAGAGCACATCTGAAGCTGATTCTACACAATGCATTAAGTTATGCTCATGAAATAATGATGTTGACCATATTAGTGAAGAATTTCTTAATAGTCGTGATGGACATATTACAATAAATGTAGGCCCCATTCTGTATAGATCTTCTGTGAAGATACATTTCCCACTGAAGTTTGAAATTGTTTATTATATAGCCCTATTTTTTTAATGTAGGATCTGATATTAAAGTCACTAATGGCATCAGGCATATATATACACCAAAACCGATGATATTGTCACGTGTTAAAGTGACCATAGACACAGGGATTTGAATTCGAGGTTGGATTTATTGACCACTTTAACACATGACTCGTGACTACACGTACGTATAGTGCCAGTGCCACTTTACAGATCACTACAGCACATGCTGTGTCTTCAGTTGAATGTGAAATAGTTGTGTTGATGGTATTGATAAGTATTTTCATTTATAATAAACACAGTGGGATGTAGAGATCAAAGGTAGCTCAGAATTGCTCTCTGAGGTTTATGCATATACGTAGGTGTGTCAATAAGTAAGTTATAAATTGATGTGGGGTACTACTACATATTTGAATGAAGCACTTGAGGCTATCGCCACTAGATGACAGCATTAGTCCGGTGGCAATTGATGACATTCGACACAAGACAATCAATGTTTACAAAAGTGAAACAGCAGTTGCAAGATGGCGGCGCCTCTGAGTGAGTGTACAACCTTCAAGCAGTGCTCTGTTGTACAATTTTTGTAGGCAAAAGATATGGGATCAAAGAATATTCATAAAGAAATGCTTCCCATCTACAGTGAGAAGTGCCTGTCACGTCAAGTTGTTTCCAGTTGGGTGCAGAAGTTCTCTGATGGGCGGACACGTATTAAAGACAAATACTGTGTCGGCCGGCCAGTGGAGATTGCCACAGAGGCGAATGTGCAACAGGTTGAAGACCTAATCCGAGCAGACAGAAGGGTAACTATAGACACTATAGCCACTGCTATTGGTTGTTCACACAGCATGGCCTACCTCATAATGCATGACAGGTTAGGTTTTCACAAAGTCTGCGCACGATGGGTGCCGTGCATGCTGACCCCACAACACAAAATGCAAAGAGTGGGTCTGGCATTACAGCATCTCAATCGCTACCACGATGAAGGACACGATATGCTAGCCCGAATTGTCACAGGTGATGAGTCTTGGGTTCACCATTACCAGCCCGAGACGAAGTGTGCATCAGTGCAGTGGAAATACCCTGTGTCGCCTGCCAAAAAAAAGTTTAAGGTGACACCATCCTCCAGGAAAGTGATGCTCAGAGTCTTCTGGGATCATGAAGGCATACTGCTCACTGCATTTCAGCCTCAAGGCAAACCGTAAATGCCAACTTCTACTGTAACATCCTCAGGAAACTTCATAAGGCCATTCAACGGAAGTGACCAGGAGTCTGGTGTGTTGCTCTTGCATGACAACGCGCATCCCCATACTGCCAACAAGGCAAATGAGATACTGCTAAATTTCAAGTGGGAAGTCTACGAGCATCCTGCATATAACCCCAAGCTTGCTCCAAGTGACTTTCATTTGTTCGGACCTCTTAAACATCATCTTTTGGCTGAACATTTTCCCAACGATGAAGCTGTAGAAAGGGAAGTGACCGCTTGGTTCTGACAGCAGCCCAAAGAATTTTATGCTGTTGGTTTTCAGGGGCTTGTGAAATGATGGGACAAGTGTCTCAATGTACAGGGAGATTATGTTGAAAAATAAAAGCATTCTTCAAATCATTACTCTTATTTGTTTGAGTTCTGTATCCATTTGTAACTTACTTATTGACTTACCCTCGTATGATGATAATTCTAGAAATTGAAATGCCAGTACAGGTGATATTGTTTCAGTATGAGTAATGGAAACAAATCTGAAGATGATGAATTAGGCAGTCTGTGTGGACCACAATATACATTTGCAGATGAGGAGACAAAATTCTCAATGTCAAGTTCTGTAATAAGGAGGAATGAACATTTAATACTACTTGATGATCGTTTTGAACAGGTAAAGAATTTGCATGCTGTTGTTCACAGGTGAAATCAGAGTGCTCATCAGAATTGACTCAGCAGCACATGCATGGAATAGTCATACTGTAGAAGTGTTATTTCCAAAATATTTTAATTGTAAAACATTTATTTTAAGACACTGGTATTGAATGAATGGATAATCATATAAAGTGTCTGAGACTAACATACAAAAATCTCCGTGGCTTGAGTCTGCAAGTGAACTATGGTGTTGTACAATATTCTCATAGAATTTGGCATACCCATGAAACTAGGCTGATTAAAATGTGTATAAATAAAACTTACAGTAAAGTCCGTATAGGTAAACATTTGTCTGATAAATTTACTATCCAGAATGGTCTAAAACAAGGAGATGCTTTATCGCCATTTCTTTTCAATTTTGCTTTAGAAATATGCCATCAGAAACGTCCAGCAAAACCAGGTGGGACTGAAATTAAATGGGACACGTCAGCTGTTGGTCTATGCCGATGATGTGATTCTATTGGGTGATAATATAGATACCATAAAGAACAACACACAAACTTTAATTGACGCAAGTAAGGGGGTTGGTCTAACAAATTAAAACCTGATTCAGGAGGAAATTAAGAGGAGATTGAACTTGGGTAATACTTGCTACCATTCAGTCCTGAATTAGAATATACAGAACTATAATTTTGCCTGTGGTTCTGTATGGGTCTGAAACTTGGTCTCTGACATTAAGGGAGGAACATAGACTGAGGGTGTTTGAGAACAGGGTGTAGAGAGGAATATTTGGACAAAAGAGAGATGAAGTGACAGGAGGTTGGAGAATACTGCATAATGAGGAGCTTCATAACTTGTACTCTTCTCCAAGTATAATTAGAATGATCAAGTCAAGGAGGATGAGGTGGACAGGGCATGTAGCNGGATGGGATGGTATAGATTGGATTGATCTGACTTAGGATAGGGACCAGTGGAGGGGTCTTGTGAACACGGTAATGAACCTTCGGGTTCTATAAAATGCTGGGAAATTCTTGAGTAGCTGCAGAATTGGCTGCTCCTCAAGAAGTGCTTAGCTCCATGTGTAAGTAAGTAAGTAAGGAGGTTGGTCTAGAAGTAAGCACAGAGAAAAACTAGGTTGTTGCTGACTCATCACCAATCTGCAGGGCAAAATCATGACATAAAGATAGGAAACAGATGTTTTGAAAATGTGGCACAGTTCAGATATTTGGGAACGATGATAACAATTCAAAACCTGAGTCAGGAGGAAATTAAGAAGAGATTGAACTCAGGTAATGCTTGCTACCATTCAGTCCAGAACCTTTTGTCTTCTCATCTGCTGTCCAAAAACAAAACA